CAGGAACTCGAGTAGCTCCTTCCGTCCCATTCACAGCCAAGAGCAGAGGGGAATGAATGGATGCTTGTCTTCCTTCCTAGCTCACTGTCTCCATTCTTAGAGTCGGAGACCCCAGACCGGTGAGTGGTGGTGCCCAGAGCCAGTGGTTCTCAACCTTCCTGACGCTGTTGGGCCTTTAAGACAGTTCCTCATGCTGTGGTCACCCCCAACTGTAAAATTATTTTCGCTGCTACTTCATAACTATAGCTTGTTACTGTTATGAATTGGAATGTGGATATCTGTGGTGTCTGATGGCCTTAGGTGACCCCCGTGAAAGGACCATTTGCCCCTCAGAGGGGTTGCGACCCACAGGTCGAGAACCACTGATCTAGACGCTCCCTTCCCGGGTGATTTTGACAATTGAAACTAAACATGGCTTCAGCTAAACTAGCTGTGTGGCCTCAGGCTGATGACCCCCCACATCCCCCCTGTTCTGGTTCTGCTTTTACGTCCACGTCTCGGTGCCGAGCATGGAGCATCCACAGAGAATATGCCCTGCAGGACAGGCCTGCCCTCACGCTGGCAGCATGCCACGAGCCCTGCAAGAGTGATGGGGTCTCCACAGCCCTTAGGTTACCTCTCCTGATGGGGCTCTTCTTCAGACCGGAGAGGACAGTTTTATCGTGGTCAGTTGCTTTCAAAGCTCCACCGAGAAGTGGCTGTGGTGGGGCCCTTCTGTGCTGTTAGGCTTCCCAGTGGCTCACATGTGCCCCGCCCACCCAACCCTGGCCATAGCTGAGTGACAGATGACAGTGAGCAGCAGTCAGACTTCTTGTCCCGCTGAGCCCGGGGAGGTGTGTGGCTTGGAGACTGTGCCCCTGTGCTAATGTGATTTCAGCCTGATTAGATCCACCAGGAGCTGGGGAGCCGAGACAGGAGCTGCGGACGTTTCCAGCAGTCTACTCTGGGGCCCCCACCGCCAAGGCCCCACTAAGCAGGGCTGTTTGGTCAAAAGGTGAACCCTAGGGAGGGTCAAGGACAACAGGAGGTGCTGGCCTGTGCCCTGAGTGTTTAAGCAAACACAGTGGCCTGCTGCTTGCCACCCCGAGAGCCCTATTACTCACAAGGACACTCACCAGATTTCCTAAGCTTGAGTGTTGCTTCAGAACACTGTGAGGCCCTTGGCTGCCTTGTGAAGGCCCTGAAGGCCAAACCAGGGCAATGACAAAATGCTGTGCACCCCTGATGCAAATAAGGCTGGGTTGGCTATCAGGTGTTCCATGGCTGCAAATGACAGCCCCATCAGCTTAACCAAGAGCGGGGAAGGTCTGCCTCCGTGCCGCCATTTGCCTGGGCCTCACTCAGGCTGTGTCCTCTGTTCTGAGACAGGCTGCAGAAGTCTCAGCCTTCTGTCTTTCTCTCACCTCCAACCTTCGGGACTCTGTCTAGACTCTGAGCCAGTCTCTACAGTATAGGAGTGAGTGACTTTAACTGGTGGGCTTTGGCCTCACGCCCTCCTGGTACTCGGGCAGTGGGGCAGGAAGGGATCTGAGCTGCACTAGCAGCAGCCCGCTGCCCTGCCTTCATGGGAACGGAAAGGGACTGACAGCCAGCATAGCCCTGTCCTGCCCAGCCAGGTATTCGTCCCCACACCCTTGCCACCCTGGGCCTCAGTTTTCTTAATTGTATATATGTAGAGAGAGGGATTTAAGGGTGTTTCTCGTAGGCATGGACAGCAGGTGACCCTATGCCCGCAGAACTCTTTCATCTCAAATGCCCTTCACTCTGCACCAAATAATGGGCTCGTTCATGGCCCCCGATGGTGTCTGCTTGTGTGCCAAAGTCCTTATTAGCTTTCTGTCTCAGTTTTCTTTTGTGTTAGATAAGATGGCTCCTAGGACAATGGCACAATGGCAGCGATTAAAGACATAAGCGAACAGGTCGCGGGAAGCTTCTCATGAAGGGAGGCGAGGTGGCATGCCTGCTGGTGGTAGATCCTCATAAATCTGTCCAAGACCTTTGTCCTCGTCCATGCAGACAGCCCTTGCCGGTGTGGCTGTTTTCCAGGGGCGTGGCTCTTGAAGGTTAGGTTACCCAAGTGGTCACTGGTGGGGGTGGCGATAGGGTGGGTCTAGGCTGAGGCTGGGCCGCTGGGATACTGGACCGTGCTGAGCCCTGAAAGGAAGCCTGGCCTCGCTGGCCATGATTATGGTTGGGACCTATGTAATTAACTCCAAAATGGGAGGCCGGGGAGGAATTAAAATAAACGCTTAGTGGAAATTAGAGAGGAGCTGTGGGCAAAAGATAGTTGAGCCAGGCTGGAAGCTCAGTGCTCCGTAGGGCAGGAGGTGGCGCCGGGGGCTCTCGATGTAGTGTCTCCCCTCGTCCCAGTTTCCAGGCTGGGCTATGTGTGTGCTCTGTTGCTCCCTGCGGTTGCTTTAGCTGTGCTTCTCTGCTGACTTGTGCCACCTTGCTGGCGGAGGCCAGAGACTGGGGGCAGGGTCTGAGTGTGCTGGTTTTTCTCTTGGGCTTCTGAGGGAGACTGTGCCCAGGACTGACTCTCTTCCAAGCTCTGGTGACTGTGGTAATACTTGGTGTGGCTGGCTTGCAGCAGTCTCATTCTTGCCTGTCTCTCCCC